AAGCGGCGCCACGAGCCCGTGAAGTACCAGCGGGAGCTGTGGAGCCAGAGCGGTAGGGCACGGAGGAGGGCGGGGGGCGGGGGGCGCGGCCGCCGGACGCCTTTCTTCCATTGACGCGCGGCTGTTTTCCCCTTGCAGTGGAAGCCATGAAGCGAGTGGAAGGGATCAAGCGGAGGCGCCAGGCCAAGTTCATCTGGAACAGGTACGCGCTTTCCCTGCCCGCCGGGTGAGCTCTGCTGCCTGAAGGGGATAAGAAGCCCGGCGGTTCAGATGTTTCCTGCGCTAAAATCTCATTTCTGGGGATCGGCTGCAGTTGGCCTTCGCTGGCATGCAGGAGCGCAATGGAAAAGAATGCACGAACGTTCATGTCATGGACTTTGAAAAGATTTTTAGATCGCTTGAAATGCCAAATATTGGAAGGAGCTTTCCTGGGTTTGATTGAAACGGCCCATCGGCATAGCTGTGGGTTCTTAAAGTAAAGTGTTTCTGCTGCTATGCTTGTTAGCTTTTCCTTTTCTCTCTCCAAGATTAAAGAAGGGGAAAGAGTTGCAGAAAGCACAGGACATCAAAGAAGTCAAACAAAGCATCCACCTCATCCAGACCCCTCATGCAGGTGAGCAATGGAAACCAGGATGGCTGGAAAGTGGAGATTCTTAGAGGCTAATCCCCAAAAGCTGGTTTGGCCTAATGGCTTGATGTTTTCTCCTCACTGACTGGTTCAAAAGGTGCACCTGAACTCCACATTCTGCTAGGAATCCACTGTAATGTTTTCAGAGACGCCTGAACCATTTGCTTACCTGTGATTGGTTTTTTTCAGGAAAAGCTAAATTGATGGAGGAGAAGATGGTCCAGGTGCTACAGGATACAGTGCCCATGGAAGACTCTTGAAGAGTTACACTCTTTGGGTATTTAATTTGGGGAGAGGGGGCAGGGACTAAAGTTTATATTTTGTGAGCTGCAGCTTCAAGGGGAATATCTGTAAACCAAGTATAGAAATTAGAAATAAAATAGTGCCCAAAAATGATGATTCATTCAAAGATTTTTCAACTATTTAAGGCCAATTAGAGCTGCTGTCCGCATAGGAATTAGCCTAGTGGATAGTTACTACTTCAAGAAGCAGGAAATGAAGTGCTGAGGCGTGGATGGACCATCTCAGGTATCTGGACTGTTACTCGGCTTTTAAGAAAGCAGATGGATTTCCATTGAAACTGCGCAAGGGAGTGCAGAACCATGGGCTCCTTTATGCTCCAAGCTGCACTCTTGATGGGGTGCTGTGATTTCTGACGTGTGGCAAAAACCGCAAAACAGCTCCTGGAATTCAAAACAAGCCCACCTGGAAGGGCAGATCTTGCTCAGAACTCCATGTCGGCCTGCCAACTGTGAGTCACCCAGCAGCCCTGGCAATCCCCAGCTGTAATGGGACTTCAGTGTAGGAAGCACATATGGTGATAGCCAGGGAATAGGCACACACTTAGGTAGGTGGGAACCTTCTGTCCAGTTTAGAAACTTTAGAAACTTCACTCCTAAAAACAATTCTCAACCTGGACAACTTTATGATTTCAACTCCTGGTTTGTTTGGGAATTCCGGGAGTTGAAATTCCTGCCTCTTAAAAGTTGCCCAGGTTATAAGACGTTGCCTTCCAGGCTGAAATTGTTCAGCATGAGTTCCCAAGCATGTCCTGTTGGCTGTTCTGGGGCATGAGGGTGGAGAAAAGGTGGCGCTCAACTAAAGGGCAGAAATGAATGCCCTGAGTGACCACAGAGCTCTGATCTTGCGGCTTTTGGAGCTCCAGCAGGCCTGGACTCAAGCATGTCTCAAAAACTGCACAGAACTTAGGCCTTCAAGCCCTGGGAACAAGAGTCCCTTTCATTTGTAGAAGTGTATCTAGTAGAGAATAATCAGACTACCACAGACTATTTGGAACAGCCTTCTGTTGGTATTGGGATCTCTTTCTCCTCACTAGTCTTATATATCTGTGAACACTTGGATCTGGCATCACTGCCATGACCTAAAAGGAGGCATAAAGGCTTAGTTATGACCAGGAGGTGTTTCCACCCTTCCTAGTGATTCCTGCTGCTTTAACCTGACTCAGCTGACTGGCAAATTAGATGGTGTAATTGAGAAATGAATTGCAAACCTCCACCCAGCAGGGTTCCTTATAGATCCCAAACTCCTTCCTCACAAGGGTTCCTGGTCTCTTAAGATGCTGCCTGCAGAGGGCATTTCCTTGCCTCCAGTAGAGCCAAAACAAGGTTGGGGAGAAACCTTGTTGTAACTTAGGCTGTAACTGCACATTCTTGGTGATTCCACTCCACTCTTAGAAATGCATGTTGTGCCAATCATTAAAATGGAAATGATGCATACACCTGTGTGCCTCACAATTTTCCCTTCCTCAAAGAAGGATGAAAAGAGGCTAGCTGTTCTTTAAGACTCCTTGCCAGCTTCTGGTAAAATATTGATACATGGTTCCCAGAGAGACATGGCTAGCACCAAAGCGCCCTCAGCATCTCTGTTTGTTTAGGATAGCCCTCCCAGAGAGGCCCAGGGAGGAGTGGGTCAAATGGCACAGAAGCAGGCAGCAGCCTGAGACAAACTGACATCTACCTTGGCACAGCTGGCCTAAAGCCACAATTGCACTGCCTGCTCTTCTTAAATGCGGGTGGATGTAATTTCTGGCATCTTATTTGTGGTTTTTGCTGCCCACACCCTGGCAACGGGCAGGGTCTGAGTT